TTTATTATCCTATAGATGAATAACACATGATTAACATTTTAAAAGCTAGTTGGATTAATTTCATAAGCCAAATATACCTTATATGTGTATTATATGTGTACAGTGTGTGTGTGTGTGTGTGTGTGTGTGTTTTTTTTGTGCTGATAAATAAAGGGAGACTAGTATAGATCTATTTCAAGATATTTAGCTCTCATCAGCTAGCCATACCCTTACTGGGATTCGAACCTGTGCTGTATTGCATCTTAGGCAAACGTCTTGCCAGGGAAGAAGGTATATATTTAGAGTCACAACCCTTGGTAAGCCCCAATTATGGGAGGAAGCTAACTGCTTCCATCATCTGTCAATCGGCTCATCACAACAGTCCATCACGACAGAAACCCAATATTTTTACTGTTGCCTTTGTTATATTTAAAAAACACAAATACACACACACACTCTCTGCCTAAAATGATAATATTGTTATTACTATGCATGTACATTATATTTAAGAAACAGGTTTATTAGAGTGCCTCCTATTCAGGGTTTTGAACCTAAACTTGATTAAAATAAATTGCATGCTATTATTTTCTGCATCCAGCTAAAACACATTGTTCACTTGCCTGATGTAAGTACATGGTTGTCCTCAACTTACGTCCACAATTTAGCCCATTTTTTTTCTTGCTAAGCAAGACATTTGTTAAGTTAATTTTGCCCCATTTTACGACCTTCCTTGCCATAGTTGTAAAGTGAATCACTGCAGTTGTTAAGTTAGTAACACTGTTGTTAAGTGAATCTGGTTTTCCCCACTGAGTTTGCTGTCAGAAGGTCACAAAAGTGATCACATGACCTCAGGATACTGCAACCGTCTTAAATATGAGCCAGTTGCCAAGCATCCGAATTTCGATCAGGTCACCATGGTGGATGCGGCAACGGTTGTAAGTATCATTTTTATCAGTGCCATTGTAATTTTCAACAATCACTAAATGAACTGTTGTTAAGTGGAAGACTACCTGTAGTTCATAACAGCTAAGTGTCAAAAGAATTACAGATAGTCTTCAATTGTGACTTATGTTTTCCGTTGCTAAGCAAGATAGTCCAGTCAGTTGGGGCCAATTTTATGACTTTTTTTTAGCCACATGTCAAGTGAATCATGTGATCATTAATCAAATCTGGCTTACCCAGTTGACTTTGCTTGTCAGAAACCAGCTGGAAATGAAGCAAAAAGTAATCATATGACCTTGGGGACACTACAACCATCGTAAGTACAAGCCAGTTGCCAAGCACATTTTGATCACGTGATAGTGAGGGGTGCTGTGAGTGTGAGGTAGTGTGAGGACCAGTATCAAGTCTTTTTTTTTTCCAGTGCCACTGTAGCTTCAGTAACTGAGTGGTTGTACTACCTGTTCACTGTAGATAAAAATGAAAGCACCTGTTCTACATTCTAATATAGAAACAATGTGCAGTAAAGTTTAAGAAATATACTTGCCACAGTCAAACCTTGACATTTGGTATGAGTATTTTTTCCAGAATATAAATATTATCTCATATGTCTCCTATCTACAAGGGATGCTTCTACATTCTCCAAATGCCACATTCAGAAGCATATCATTAAACAGAGAATTACTTACCTGACCTCTAATGTCTATATCAGCGTATTTATGAAGCAATGCTCTCACAATTTCAACATGGCCACCTCTGACAGCCCCAATCAGCACGGTATCTCCACTCTGAAATTAGCACACAACAGAATCACTATCTACTTCAGATATTCCCAAATTAGCTTTCAAAGTGTCATGGCACACTTAAATAAAGCAACACTTTTATGCCACACAAATACATACTCACTCGATCAGGAATATTCACGTATGTTCCTGCATCTAGGAGATCTTGCACAATTTCTATGTGTCCCTCCTTTGAGGCAATCATCAAAGCTGTATTTCCATCTTTATCTGTTAAGTTCACATTTGGGTTTCTTTTCAGGATTTCTTTCACTGAATCTGTAAAGCCACCTCTTACTGCTACAATCAGTGCAGTCATAGAATTCTGTGAGAGAATAAAATACACTTACTAACATGAATCAGAATATTTTCTTCTAATGTATTCATTTCTTCAATACCAAATGTAAACATATACTGCAGTGTTTCTCAACCTTGGTGACTTTAAGTCCTGTGGATTTCAATGCCCAGAATCCCCCAGCCAGCAGAGCTGGCTGGGGAATTCTGGGAGTTGAAGTCCACAGGACTTAAAGTCGCCAAGGTTGAGAAACACTGATATACTGTATTTTTCTTTTCTTTCTTTTTTTACAAATGCTTTATTTTGACAAAACAAAGAAGCCTGTGTTTGACATAAGACATCAAACTTCCACTATTCAGTTCTTGGCATTTACTTCCCTGATGTGTTGTATGATGTCTAGACTTACTTGATAACCAAGGGAACTTATAAACTGAATACAATTAATAAATATGTTGCTTTTGATTAGAAATATATATTTAGCTATTTTTTTAAAAAAATAAGAGTTATACTCACAGCTCCTTCCTGATCCACATCTGCTCCCATCTGCAACAAATACTTTACACAGTCCAGATGTCCTTTTCTTGCTGCCCAGATTAATGCTGTAGTACCATACTGGTAGAAAAAAATACATCTTTTATACCACTATAGTTTGACTGATAAACGCGGCTTCAAATACAGATATAAATATTACATATATATANCTGCTGGTAATCCAAACCTCCCTAACCAAAATCCACACCACCAAAAGAGAGCAACCGCACTTCCACTCATCACCCCCTTCCCAAGTTACTTTTACCCAGCAGCGTCGCCATGCAAAGGAAAAGGATGGCACAAAATATGTGACCGTTTTTTAAACCAGTGGCAAAGAGCTCTCTCGCAAGCTCAACTAGAATTCGATTGGTGGTGATTTTTCCCCCCTAACAACACCGTGCACAATCTCCCTGCCCACCGACCATTTAAAAAAAACCTTTTCACAAGCCAAGCTACACAATATACACAATATCTGCTTTATTCTTTAATTTTACTAGGTAGTGAGCAATACAAATGTTTGAATCTACTTTCCTTTCCTTTTAATATAATTATTGTAATTAAAAATAAACTTCACAATAAAACTCTAATTTTAATTATAATTAGATTATTAAGGAAGCAAGCATTATACACACATATAGAACTATGCTGTACACACCCACACACAGACACACACACATTTTATTAAATATTACAGTTACAGCAATAAAAACTAATAAAAGAAATAAAAGAAAAGGAATAAATGTGTAGAAAAGATAGAAAAATAGAAACAGAAAAGAAAGAAAAAGTAAGAATATACTTCAGTGCAAATTTAAATAATTTTAGTAACATTTTACTGCCTCTTAAATTATAACAAATGATCTCTTCTTTGCATATTCTATCTTATATTTGTAAACAAACCCATTAAGGCTCTATATTTCAGTCCTGATATCATATACAGGAATGATATCTGATATCAACCAGAGATAACAACATATCTATATTAATCTTGATCAAATAAGCGCACTTTATATTCCTGTCTTTTACTTCCAACAAACTTGATCTTCAATCCATTCAAATAATGTCATAGAGTTTGATATCTTTTGCATCTTTTGTAAACCCAATATAAATCAGGTCACTCTTGGTTTGTTGTTTGTATATATCACCTCTAATTGTTAAGACATCACCTGGTTTCTTTTGCATGCTCGGTATGACTTTTTCCCCCAAACCATTCTTTTAGATTCTTTTAAGTTCCACTTTCAAATCAGTCTCATTCTTGTTAGGTAAAACATGTTGCTTTTCCATTGACATCTTCTAAACACAGATTAGTCTAGCTATAAAGGTGGACACTATTAAAATTAACTTTGGAATCCATGGTTCAAAAATATCCTTCAATATGTCCAATGTTAAAATATTTTGCTTCATTCTATAATTGTGAGCCGACTTTCATCATTCTTCCTCATTAATTATAGTTTTTAGTTCCCTCTATTTCACTCTAATGTCTGATTTTTAAAATCTTATTTTATTAAGAATTCAAAACAAAATATTTCCCCCTGGGAAGGATTATAATTAATTCCAAAATCTTACTTTAAATTCACATTAACAGACCCTTAATCTGTTTGTAACTTTCTAAAATTATAGTTTTGTATTTGTATTTGTATTTTGTATTTAAGTTTATTTATATGCCGCCCTTTTCCCTGGGGGGACTCAGGNGGCCCTCTGGAGCACCGTACCGGAACGGTACCTGGTGCTCCCAGCAGGCACCAGTACACCCATCCCGGGGCGTACCAGTCGTATCCCACCACTGAACTGCATCTTCTCTGCAGCTATTATACTCCACATTTTAGTTAAAGTGTTCCTGATGAGTGTCCATGCATGTGCCAATCATAATTTTCCCTTGAATCTGGTTTTCTTTCTATAGTTATACTTGCATGGCTCATAAAGTCAAAAGCTCAAGTTATGTTTCCCTCATTCCTTTATTCCTTACAAAGGTAATTCAACTTATATTCTTTAGATAATTTGTTTTCTCTCTGTTATATTTTTACCAAATGAGAACATTTTATAAAGTCATTTTTTTTAAGCAGATCATTTTCTTTATCAAAAGATTTGAGGGTCAGCCCTCCGCCACTATTTTACTTTTAGCTGTGTTTTTCACATTGTATAACAATTAGACTTTACCTTATCTACTGCAGAAACTTTTGCTCCTTTGTCCAGCAGAAGCTCAACTATTTCAATATTTCTCATTTTGGTTGCCTTTATAAGAGGTGTTTCACCATCCTAAAAGTAAAAAGAAAAAGATATAGCAGACACTTGAAGAACAGATAAAGCATATTTAACTTTTTTTTAAAGACAAATTATATTTCATGACAAAAACCTTTTCCAACAGAATGGTTTGAGATGCATTATACTTTTAGCGGTATTATTTTACTAACTTTTAATTATATCAACAGCTGTTGAACTGTTTTAATCTCTAAAAATATACAAACCAGCTGAAATTAATTAGTAATTTGATTATATGCTATCAAGTTGGTGTTAACTCTTAATGACCACTTAGAATTTCTCCAGGATGATATGTTCCCAAACCAGTTCTTCAAATCTTCCAACAGTGTGCACAATGCCACTGTAATTGAGTCTATCTACTAGTACTTACCTGCTGATAATTCTCTTTTGTCCACTTTTCCCAGAATTATGAACTTCTCCAGAGAGTTAGTCTTCACATAATATATGCAAACTATGATAATTCGAACCTGGTCAATTGCACCTTGAATCACGTTGCTAGATCAGTTCTATGATCCATTTGTTTTCTGTAATTATTTTTCCAATACTAAAGTTTAAAAATTCAAAACTCTTTAAACCCTACTGCTTAAAATCCCAACTTTTGCTTCCCCAAAGTATTACGATAAAAATTATTGTATCATTTTTCATTTTTCATATTATTGAGAACAATCATTTATAGTTCTGTTCCGAGTAATAAATTGTTTTCTATTTTCATTATCTAGAAGCTCTGCTTACACTATTTTCTTTAAAATTCAACTTCACTGTGTTTTCCTTTCTGTCTGTTCTGTATCTCCAAGTTTTTGGTTACTCACTTTTCTGTTTTCTTAATCTCTGTACATCTATATTGTCATGCTCTATAAACCTATTTATATTTTCCTACAGTTGGATTTATCTTTTTTATTTTGTTTTCCATTACTGTTCTGCCAGTCTTTTCTTTTTCTTCATTTCTTTTCTTTTCTTTTTTTTTTTTTTTTGCTTATTTCTTCTTTGCTGCATTTCTTGATGCTTCTCTTTCAAATCTTTGCTCCATCTGAGCAAAGACTCCAAGAACCTCTCGCCAGTCTGAGGGAACGAAATAAACACCTCTGTCCCCAGTTTTCTCAGATGCTGCCTCTTTTCCTTTTGCCTCTTCTCATCAGGGCTAACAAACTTTTAGTTTGTTCCTTTATTTGGGGCTCCATTTATTCAACATTCATGAGGCCTGTGGTTGCAGAGCTCTCAGGAAGCCATCTTCTCTTCCATCCCCCTTCTCTCCTGGCCTAACACCTCTGTTTGATTGGAAGTTGGGTCATCCTCACAATGGGGAGGGCCAAGAAGGGAGAGAGAAGATCCTTTTAATCTGCTCAGTCAGTCTTGTTTCTGTAATCCTCAATAAGTTATTTGTTTTTATTCCAGCTTCCTTCATTTTCCATCAAAGAGATTAATTGTGATTTCTGGATTTCAAAGTAATTTCTCATGTTCTCCATAAAAATGCTAAAATATGTGCTCAAGATCATATTGTTGGAACTGTTTCTTTTACTTTAACTTGACTTGGAACTTGCATGTGAGAAGTTTGTCATTTATTCCACAGTTAAGCTCTAGTCATATCTTTTCTGTTATAACTGAGTACCATATCCATTATATTATTTGATAAATGATATTATTTGATCACTGACTGTATTAAATCCAAATACTATCATTGCTATATCCTTCCCAATTATTTAAGTATAGGCTGACTACTGGGCAGCATACAATTAAGAATAAAAAATTACAGAAGTCAAAAAGGAATCATATCAGCTCCCAAAACAACATAAAGCCCATATGTTGTTAGTAGACCTGACTAACAGCTCTCAAGGTAGGAGCCACAATGAAGAGGCTTAGTTTTGGTAGTTAAGTCTAAATGCATGCATTCATAAGAAAAATGCCATTTATTTTACTGTCTAGTACTATTCCAAAAAGTAATAAGCAGCAATTGGGAGATATATAATCAAATTATTGGTATATATAAATTTAATAAATACATGTCACACTTCTAAGAAAACTAATACAGGTTATTGCTATGTAAACAGAAATATTATTAAATAAACTTCAAGCTTATTATTAAATAAAGTTTATTAGTAAGTTCAAGAACTAGAGTTTTTAAAAATAAAAAATAACAATAACAATATACACCAAAACCACCTATATTAAAGCTTATTCAGGATTAGAAACTATTAATTATATACTTACCTTTGTACATATTTCAGTGTCTGGATTACACTGCAAAATATCTCTTACCATGGTAGCATTTCCCTTTTCAACAGCCCAATATAAAGCTGTTTTATTATCCTATAGATGAATAACACATGATTAACATTTTAAAAGCTAGTTGGATTAATTTCATAAGCCAAATATANTTGAAGTATCTTTGTCTCGGCGTGCTTTGGTGTTGAAGAGGGGTGGTCAGAACAGTCTTTTATAGGAAAATATTAATTTTACACAAACTAAAAATGACTAGTGCTAGACTAATGGCCAACAGAAGACTTTCTACCTCACATTCTATAATTATCTGAATAATATCATTCAAGATAAACAATTCCAAATGCCAATTGATATAATGTTAATGTTTGACTGCAAAAAGGGGGAAAATGAACTTACAATACCCGTGATGTTTGGGTTTGCTCCTCTTTCAAGAAGCAGTTCAGCTACTTCAGTACAGCCTTTGTAGCATGCCCACATAAGGGCTGTCCACCCACCCTAAAACCATAAAACAGAAAATCATAGCATTCCTACAATTAAACAAAGGACTAAGCTACATAACTGCTGAATTATCTTCAAGACACCAATATATATTCATTTCCAAAGGAACACAAAAAGTGTTACGTTGCAACGAAAACGAAGTCCTACGGTTCTTAAAGAATAATAAATGTCTTATTGTGTAAGGTTTGGGATCCATTTCATCAGAAGCATAGAGCATTACCCTCACTTATGATATCGATAAAAGTACAGCTGCACATATAGACGGGCCAATGTGCACAACACTTCCACCCAATCAACCTCAGTCTTGACCTTTCTACACACTGTGTGGCCTTTGTTTTACACACACTGATAGTAAACAAGACAGAAAGAAGATACATGTAACAATGAGGTAAAGGAAAGTGAAATGCAAGAAGTATAGATTTTATTCATATGGGGTTATTCTCTGTACTGTTACTGTTGGACAGTGCACTTGTGAATTTCCTTTGAAATTCTCTTACTCAATTAGCAAATGCATTCTATTATGTAAAATATCTATATGAACTTCTGGCATTACATTCCAAGAAAGACAATCACCTAACACTAACACACCCAAATTGAGTTCTAACATCATAATTAAAAGGAGCTAAGTAGTATACAGGTGGTTCTCAAGTGGTGACAGCAATGACTGCCATCATTAAAAGTGCAGTTGGAAAGTACAATATCATGAGTACATCACTTGGCAATGACAATCCCAGCAGTCCCAGCTGTCATAGTAACTTTAAGGGTATTCAGCGGAAGGCAGCAGGAATCCCAGGAAGAAGCATACAAGTGGGTTGGGGAGTCCAGCGCATACACTGGGAAGGGCTAGCGCATGAGTTGGGGGAAGGCTTGGAAGGAGGCCTGGTGCAGATTTGCATGAATGCAGGACATAAATCTAACAAATAAAGATACTGGGAAAATAACACTTGGATGTTATTATAAAAGTAAAAAATATACCATGTCTCGATGTTCTATATTCACATTGCATGATAAGAGTTCTGATACAACAGCAATATGCCCCTCTTTAGATGCAGAGATAAGAGCTGTCCAATTATCCTAAAATAAGGCAATCAAAGAAGGAAAATGTCAGAGTTTTATAAGTACTTAAGAACAAGCTTTTATATGTATTTCATTTATTAAACAAATTTATATAGCTGCTCATACACTAGAAAGAACATTCAGCTAGCTATAAACAGAAATGCAACAGAGCTTTTTTTTT